ATCTCAAATTGATGGTTTTAACAAAGAACATCACACAAAACATAAAAAATACATTGATGAATTTAAAATACATATATTTCCTACTCAAATGCCCAGTACCCAACAACCAGACAATTAGACACTGCTTGGAGAGCCGCTCATACGTATCAGGAATATACCTGACCCATTTATCTTTAACAATACAAAATAATCAGTTCGATGTTCAGCTCTAAGGAGATGTTCTTCATTTACAGATCAACTCAAGCATTTCATTCCCTGTATTTTTCAGTTTCATTTACAGAATAAATGTAGGCTACCATATAAAGCTTTTATTAATAATAGGGGCCCAATTCCCATGTTGTAAAGTTAATGGTAGATTTCCTATTTAATTTAAAGGAAGATGCTTTAATTGGGCCTATAAGACACCGTAAAACCGATTCACCCCACTATGAAAATGATTGTAAGAAAGCTTTAGAAGTCTTGTATGTCTCCTACACACTTCTGCAGAAAAAAAACTTTAATACCTTTTTCAGTTGAGCTTCAAGCAGCTGTACTCACACTCTACAGAGTCCAGCAGTAAGACGGCCAAGTCCCCCTCATCTTATTCTGCCTTATAAAAGTCAGGAAAAAAAAAGCTTCATTATGGAAATGGTGGTACATATTTACCCTATGAACTCTTTTTTACGTGTAGGAGGAAGAAAACTCCACAGAGCTCACTCTAGGATGAGAATTGGGAAGAAGTGCCTCTACCAAGGGTCAGCAGCTGCTCTGGAGCCTGGGACCCAGATTTTACTTCAACCTCTACCCCTCACTCACCTGCCACAGGGCCTTGGCCAAGTCATCTCATCATAACCCTTCTCACTCTCTGTCCATGTTGTTTATCTAAAACACAGAGTCTTTCTTCAGGAGGTATTATTCGCTGCTATTTGTGCAAATGCCTTAGGCTACTAGGCTCCAATTATATTTATAAGCAACCAGGCAATACTGTAAGGTATATATAATGAGAAATAACCAATTTTACAGAAAAGTTAGTGTACTAAAATAGTACATATTTCAACTTGTTTATAAGAAAAGCTCCCAGTGGGACTGGAGAGAGAGTTGTATTTTCACATACTGCAAACCAATAGGGGAAAAAAAGGCTGAGGAGACTTCCTCCTACATCTTCATTAAATATATTTATGTGTGAGTCTCACAGTACTGCTTTTATATAAAAGTGCTGCAAACTTGCATGCCTGATGCTCAGTTTCACACCGGACAAAACCAAAATGATGTATGCAGCCATTTGTACATGCACAGATCTAGTAAGTGCCAAATACAAAAACTTGCACAGCATACAGCACTATTGTGCACTTCCGAAAGTTGTAAAAACTGTGACAATTCCTAATATATATCTTACTGTTCAGAATGTGCTTTCTTCCCCGCACACACAAACTTGGGAACTTAAGGCGGCTTTTTTTTTACACAGAAGAGCCTGATCTCTCCCTTCCACCCCAACCTTTTCTCACAGGAGAAAAAGTCAAACGGAGCAGCTCAACAGCTACAACTCTCCTGTCCCAGCTCTCTTTCAAGAAAAAGAAACAAACCCCACACTTCTCTAGCCTGGGCAGCAGCTCCATAAACTTCACTCTCATTCTGCTCAGAAGATGGGCATGCTGAAGATGTCTTTGCTAGCAGTCTTTGTCCAGGTTTCCCACGAAGAAAAGGGATCACTGAAGAAGGACCAGGAGGTGCCTCTTGGGGACTGAGCACCCTACCCCTGAGCAGAGCCTTCCACCCTTTTCTGCTCGGCATTTCTGCTGTCACCAGTGAAATTCACCCTCTACACAGCCACCGACCTCTCCATCTTCATCTGTCACTGCTCTTCATCTCTAGCAAACACACGTTCCCTGCCTCTGCTACTCCCAGCATCTCTGAGGCTAAGTTTCTAATAAATTCTGCATGCTGAATTTTGCAAGGAGTTTTGCGTGGGAGAAGGTGATCAACACTAAAGATGCCATTACATGTTTTCGGCACTCCGACTTGTACAGCTCTATGTAGATTTACACAAGAGTCATGTTTGGCCACTAACTGAATGAAGACAGACATCCCCTTCCAAGATGGGGTGTTTGCGTTCCCTCACTCTTCTGCATTCACACACAAAAAAAGCAAAATAAATGGAAGAGAAGTTGCAACCCAAAGTAAGAAAAAGTTCATTTACACTCCGCTACAGTTTCTTGCAAACCACTAATGTTACAAGCCAAACAGTGTCCTTTTGGAGCACTTGCCAGGTGTTCAGGAAGAAAAATAACGTATTCTTCCACCCTGCTCCATCCTTCCCCCTTTATCCCACAGGGAAATGCCACTTGATTAGCTTACAAGGAGCTTCCCATCTGTCTACTCGCTTGTTTTGAGACCTGAAAGCAAGCTGCCTGTCACTGAATTCCTGAAGTGAAATAGCAAAGGCAGGTTTTGCATTTTAACCCGAACACGGAGCAGCATTCTGTGTTGTGGTTGTGCCGAGATTCTGGCGGGAGGAAGAGTCCCTGAGGTGCCCCCCAGCCGCTGGTGCCACTCCATCCATCACCAGAGCGGGGCACGCACCCGGGACTCCTCACGGAAGAGTGCCAGCAAGGACAGCCCGGCAGCACGAGCTGTCACCGCGCTGTTCCCCACTACCAGAGCCCTGTGAGAGGGAAGGGCGGGCTGGCGGCAGGCCCTCCTCCCCCCCTTCCAACAAACCACCTGTGGCACCGCGCGTGTGGGGCTGGAGAGTCCCCCAAAAAGGCTGCCGAGTCCCCCAAAAAGCAAAGGGTTTGGGAGGAGGCAAGGCTGTCTGCGCTTCTTCACAGCACAGCTGCTACCTCTGCGGGGCAAAGCACCTCAGGGGAAGGCTTCTGCCCTCATGAAGATCATCTGGAGGTACATCAGGGGGAAAAAATAAAAAAAAAGCAACTCACACACACACACTCCTAATAGCCTGTGAAAATCTTACCCGCCGCACAGCCAGCTTCATTTAATAGCAAGTCTTGGTAACATTAAAATATGGGGGTGCGAAGGGGGCTCAGCACTGGGAAAGCCTCAAACCATGCCACCCAGCCTTCCGTGAGGGCCGCAAGTTTCAAGTACGCTACCTGCTCTTTTAACTTACTGACACCAGTGTAATCGTGCAATGTCCCACCCATGCACCCAAGCTGAGGTGGAGGTGCCTGCACTTTTGGAAACAGCGAAGAAATTGAAACGCCTGTGACTTCCTTCATTCGCCCTCACATGACAGCATTGCGCCATGCCTTCGGCATACAGCTAAAGCTCCTCACACCACCAGACAGGACTACAGGGTCGCACCAGGATGAGCCTCACATTCAGTTTGTGCTTTCGCTTGACATTTGCCCTTTAGAGGCTCTGAGGTAAAGGGAGCCGACAAAACAAGATGCCCCTGTCTCACAAACAGCTTCTGAACGCCGAGAGCACTCCCAGAGCATTTCGACATCAGCACTGCCGAGGTGAATGTGCCAGACCCGCCGTGCATCCAGGAATTGCCCCGACAGCAGCAGCCCAGCCGGCGCCCCGAGCACGCCGGCCCCCACCCGCGCACACACGCACAGGCGACAGTGCCCGCTGCCACGGGCCCCCGAAGGCGGGAGCGACAGCTCTGAGCGAGCCGGCGGGTTCTGCTTCTCCCACCACGAAGAAAGAACTGCGGGTGGAAGGAAAGCGGTGGTGGAGGCAAAAGCCCAGGGCAGCTCTCCTGAACGGGGGAGGCGAGCGGCGGGCGGGCGCTGGAGAGACCCCCGCCGCCAGCCCGGGCCCGAGGCCCCGCGCACCGGGACGGCGCTACGCGACCGGCGGGGACGCAACTTTCCCGAGCCCGGAGGCCGCGGCCCCGGCCCCCCCCCCCCCCTTCGCTTCTCGGCCAAAGCGGCCGGTGACGGTGCCACGCTCGGGGCAGCGGCTTTTGCGATGTCAACAGCTCCGGGCTGCGAGGCCGCCGCCGCGCCAGCCCCCCCGCCCGGGAGCTCACACACACCCCACACCCCCCCCCGGTCGGGCGGGGGGTCCCCGCTCCCCGCCGGGATGTTTACCCGGCGGGCAGCTGCGGCAGCGTTCACCGCCGGCACCAGCAGCCGCCCCGCCCCGCCGCCTCCCGCGGAAGGTCGGACAGACAGACGGACGGACGGACGCCGGGAACGGGCACCTCCGGCCGGAGGAGGGCGACGCTGCCCCCGCGGTCCCGGCTTTCGGCGCGTTTGGTGGGGGGGGGGGGGAGTATTTTCGCGACCGCCAGCCGGAAAGCTCCGGGGGGAGCGCGATCCGCCGGCACCGCCACTTCCGCGGGGAGCGCCGGGCTGCAGCCAGGCCGCCTCCCCCGCCCGGCACGGCTCTTCCCCACCGCCTCTCTCCCTCCCTCTCGGTCAATCCCCACCCTCCGTGGGCGGGTGGGCGCCCGCGGCCGGGTTACCTTGCAAGAGGAGTAGACGCCCAGCTTCTCCAGCTTCTTGGCCCGCGGCGCGGCGCGCAGCTGCGCCTTCTTCCCCGCGGTGCGAGCCGAGCCGGGCCCCCCGGGGCTCTCGGCGGCGCTGCGGGCCGGCCCCCCGGCAGCCACCCCGCCGGTGGCCGGGGAGCCCTGCTGCGGCCCGCCCGCCGCCCCGGCCCCGGCACCGACAGGTTCCGCCATGCCTGCGGCGCGGCGGCAGCCGCCCGCCCGCCCGCCCGCCCGGCGCGGTGCGGAGCGGAGCGGCGCGGAGCGCCCGGCCCTGGGCCCTCCCCTTCGCCGCGCCGCCGCCGGCCGCTCCCCGGGGGGGGGGGGGGGGGGGGGGGGAGCGGGAGGAGGGACCCGCCGCTCCGCGGGCGGCTCCTGCCCCGCCGGGCGGGGGGGGCCGGCACCCGCCTCCCGCCGCCGCGCACGGCGGGGGGGGCGCGCCCGGGTCCCTGCGCAGGGGCGGGCCGCGCCCTGCGCCCCCGCGGAGGGGGCGGCGGCCGCTGCGGGGCCGGGCCGGGCCGGGCGGGGCGGGGAGGCTGCGCGGAAAGTTGCCCGAGGAAGCGGCGGCGGCGGCTGCGCGCGGGGCCGGCCCCGCTCCTCGGCCCGCGGAGCTGCCGCCGCCGCCGCTCCCGCGCTACTTTGTGTGACTTAACTGGCGGCGCTCCCCGCTGTGCGCTTTGCAGCCACCTTTCAAGGATTCATTTACTTCCCCCCCCCCCCCCGATGATTTCCAACTCAGTATATAAATACTAACCGGTTTTAAGCACAGGAGAATTCAAAAACTCTGCTCGGTTCCTAGTGTCATCGTTTTGGGGCTTTCATTTTACTTTTTTTTTTTTTTTTCGTCCAGGAACGAGTGTTGACAGCCGGTCAGTTTCTGTCTTAAAGGGGATTACCTTTTAACTGAAAGCTAAAGTTGAGTGAATGATCCCACCCCAGAAACGGCGCTCTACGCACAGAAGCAAGTGCCTCGGTTTTGGGGCAGTCACGCTGTTGCGCGTGTGTAAAAAAACGTGGCTCAGGTGTGAGAAACCACGAATGGCGATTCTCTAGCGCGGCACCAGGGTTTAAAAGGTTGGGATTGAGGCTGGCCGTTTGCGTGGGACCCACGCGGCCCTTTGAGGTGCAAACCCGGGGCGGCGGCGGGATGAGCTCGGGAGAGAATCCCGGCGCGCGCGCGTGGGGCTCCCGCAGCCGCAGGGGCCGAGCCGGCTGGCGCGAGGCGAGCGGAGGTGCCGCCGGGCGCGTGCGGGGTTGGGGGCGGGGGGAGGCGCTGCCTCAGCCGCCCCCCCCTTCTCCCCTCAGCCGCCCCCCCTCTCCCCTCAGCCGCCCCCCCCTCTCCCCTCAGCCGCCGCCCCCACTCCCCTCAGCCGACCCCCCCCTTCTCCCCTCAGACCCCCCCCTTCTCCCCTCAGCCGCCCCCCCTTCTCCCCTCAGCCGCCCCCCCTCTCCCCTCAGCTGCCTAGCTCCTGGGGACATTTTCAGGCATAAGGTTATACGGCAACTTGGCACATTCGTGAAAAAATAGGAAAAAAATGTTGTAGCGTTTTCATGAAAAAGGGGGCTCGGGATTTTTAGGTAGGGTTTTTTTTTTTGTTTTGGTTTGGTTATTTATTTATTTATTTATTTATTTATTTATTTATTTATTTATTTATTAATTATTATTTTTGGCTGAGGTTTTCAAATCGAGTGGGGGGGGTTGGTCGCGGTAGGGTGGGAGCAGCCCCCCGCGCCCCTCCGCGGGGTGCGGGGGGGGGGGGGGGGGGGGTTGGTGCTGGGCTGCGCTCGGTGGCCGCGGCCGTAAAATGGCTGCGGCCGGTCCCGCCGGGGGAGCCGGCGGCTCCCAGGCTAATTAAAGGGGGGGGGGGGGAAGAATTAATCCAGTTGCTCTTAAGAGAGAATGATTTTTTTAAACATTTTTTTTCAACTGTTTGAATCATGTCTTACAATAACAAATAGCCGCTGTATGGTAACATGGTAACAGGCACCTCAGAAGCCCTTCGCTTGCTTTTTTTTTTTTTTTTTTTTTTTTTTTTTTTTTACGCCGGTTAGGTTTCCACTTGAAAATGAAACTGGTATTGTTTAGTTTCACTTTCAGCTTTCCCACTACTCTTCCTTCTCAGCAAAAGGAAAGAGCGCATCTGGAACAACATATTGACTCCTATAGACCGCTTCATGTCGATGCGTGAACATAGACTCTTAGTTTCCCTGGGAGCTGCTGTAGCCTTTACATCCCCCAATACGTTTTTCTTTTTTCCTTTTTTTTTCCCCAAATCACCAGCTTCTCCTTTAAACGGTAAGATAATGCTATTTAGCCCAGCATTAAGTTTGCACACCTGCGTGTAAATTAATTACAACTTTCAATTCTGAAAATACATTTACTATTTTCACACAGGGGAGTAATTCCACTGGTGTTTATTGGGCCACTCAGCGTGCATTTATGTCTGAAGCTGCACAGGCGAGTGTTCCCAGGATCACAGCCTGTACGAACAACTTCATTCTTTCACCTTATTCTTCAAGGTCCTTAACAGCCTGAAAAGTTTTTGCTTCCATTAAAGTAAAATCAAGGATGAAAGTTGTTACGAAGCAGATACTGACTTTGGTTAAATGCCCAAATATTTGTTTACATTTTGTGGTGTGTTTATGAGGGTCTAATGGGAAAACACTGCTGTACTGCATATAGTAAGGCACTGGTTAGTATAATGGCAAAAAATACTTTTACTGCAGTTCCTTCTTGAATCCTCAAGAGCACGGCTGTCTTACAATACTATGTCTCTTTTTTTCCTTTTAACCTTGCTGCTCACCAGATAACCAGAACAGTTAATTCTACCAGCCCGTGGCTAGGGATACAGTTACTATAGTAACATTTACAAACACTCTACGCATGCAGAACCACTGCCTGCTACTGCAGAGGAGCAGCTTAGAAAGAAATCACTCTTTAACTGCAAATAGGTAAGTGTTTCTCTGTTGTTTGGTTTTTTTTCTTCTTTTTTTTTTTTTTTTTTTTTAACTTTAAGCCTCATTTCTAACTTTGTGCAAATATGTTGTTTAAAACACCAAGAAAAAAAGCTTGACTTCATCAAGAGCAGTTTCTCCAGTGACAGGTAAAATACTACATTCACAATTTTGGCAAGAATAAGGAATAAAAAGACCATTTGCCAGCTGGAAATATGGGACTATAACTTGGGCTGTGTTGACATGCAGCAGCTTCAGTGAATGTAGTTTGTCCAGGACAGGTTACGCTACGTTAGGAAAACCAAAAAATGGATGCTTTGACATAGGAGAGTATATATGTCATTCTCGATTTCAGATACCCAGGCTGGCTTTTTCTGCCAAGCGAATTTACAAGCAAGTACAGACTCATTTTTTAATTGTAACGCATGCATAACTCTGGGCACAAAAGAGTCACTCTGGTGCTCATTTTTCATCATTAAACATGCACTATGAAGATATTAAATCAGATTCAAACTCCAAGCATTGTCTGAAAAACCTTGGCCGCATTATTCAGTTTCTGTCCTTCGGGGCACATCAGTGGGTTTGCACAAGCCGAAGCGACTCCGAACCCCGCGCTGGGCGAGCGCGGCTGGGAGCTGAGGGAGCCTGCCCGCCCGCTGCAGCTCCGCTCGCACTCGGGTGAGCTGCTGGGTCACTTTGGGTGCTCAGCTCGCACTCGGGTGAGCTGCTGGGTCACTTTGGGTGCTCCGCTGGCACTCGGGTGAGCTGCTGGGTCACTTTGGGTGCTCCGCTGGCACTCGGGTGAGCTGCTGGGTCACTTCGGGAAGACTACTCATCCGCATCGAATTAAGCAAGCCAGGAGCTGGGTGAGAGGCGAGTGCCAGCTCCTGTGATTCTCAGGTCTGTGCCAGGCTGCTGGCAGCCGTGAGGGGGTGCCCGCCCAGAGCCGGTGCTCCCAGGAGACCATCTCGGGTCTCACCTTTGTTGCTCTCGCCCGAATTCGCTGGGAACGCCCGGCAGGCTGAAGTGCGAGAGCGGGCGCGTTATTCCAGCAAAGGAAGTGCTTGCATTCTTGATGCCGAGTCACAAAAGAGGAAATTAAAATGCAGTTTAGGGCGTGCCTGACACCTGGTTATTACCTAGATGTCATTTAGGGATTTGGGGGCCTATCTCAGTCACAGAGTTTAAAGAATGACTCAACTAATAGCAGCCTACTGCTGAATGCCACCTCTCTGAGAGGGACCTCTCAGCCCCAGGCCGAGCTCTGGGAGCCCACCCTTACCCCCCATCCCCGCCTCCCAGCCTAGTTGGAGTGAGTGTGCTCTCTCCTTTTGTTCATGATGGGACTTTTCTCCTTCTCTCCCACCTGTTTTTACTCTTGCTATTCAATGCAAATGTGAAAAGCAGAGCTCTTGCCCCTCCAGGAAATTTCTCCGAGTATAGAATCCTATTGTGTCCTTTCATTAGCACATTTCTCGTGGGTGAAGTGGCCTCCCTCTTGGCCACCACACGTTCAGGACTGCTATCAATATTTTATGAATCACTGAAAGTATTAACAGTACAAAAGTTTTGTTCATTATGCTGTCTCTAGCATCTTGTCAGCTTCCCATGGTGCTTACACATGGCTTTAATAATGCAGATGGCAGACCTTCCCACCAGGCCTTTGTCTGTTATTGGGAACCTCACACCCCAATTATCCAGTTTTTAAAGGAAAAAAATGTGAAAAAAAAAATAATGGAGAAAATGTCATTGCAAAGTTCAGGGCTGTTTTAGTAACAAAAAATCCTTGTTAGTGATGAAGCACTTAGCAGTTTTTATTCACTTCTTACCCATTGAATGCTCTTCTTGACTGCAGTCTTGATTTAACAAAAACCAAGTGAGAAAACTGAAGGCTGGGCTCACGCAGCACCGGGCATTTACTGCCTTTGCCAGTAGAATGTGAAGTGTACGCGCCAAGTTCGGAAGGTGCTTGTTGAAGTTGTTTAGCCATCTGCAGTGGCTGCATAGGCTTGCGCTGTGTTATTTCACGGTAGTGAGAGGTCTAGTTTGATCTTAATGCAAACATGGGATGTACCGTCTTGTTTTCCCCTTACCTTTTCTTTCTTCTGCATCTCCCAGAAGTTTGTGGGGTTTTGGTTGGTTGGGTGGTTTTTTTTTAATTCCTTTCTAGAACATATTTTTCGCTTCTTCCTGCTACTTAACATGTGGCAGAGATCCCCACAGTTCTCTGGGACCCCACTCGGCGTACTCTGACTGTCTGTGTTCTGACAGTTTTCCTGACCACCCCATCCCCGCGTCGGGCAGGTCGGGCAGTGCTGGCAGCCTTACGGGCTGCAGCCCCCGGCCCCTGGCACAGCCTCAGCTGGCAGGGGTAGGAAGGAAGCAGCTGCCTCTCTGCTACCTGCACCTGAGTAGCTGCTGACCTGCACCCCTGATAGGACACTGATTTAGATAATAAAACGCTGCATAGAAAATCCCCTTTATTTCTGTAAAATGAAGTTACACTGGCCTAAGCACATCTGGCCGTGCAAGCCCACTCCTGGGTCTTCTCCAAATCTGTGTGGGAGAGCACCTGGAAATCCTAAAGCTATGGACAAAACCACAAGCACTTCCGTTAAACCACAGATACTAAACAGGTTAAAACCCTCTGTTTAGACCAACCATAACTGTGGTGTATATGGCTGGAAAAAGCAGAGGAACTCCAGGAGTAAAGCAGTAATCCCAGATGTGGGGTTTTGGGGTGAGGAAGGCAGGGTGTCACTGGGAGGAAAGCGCGGGAGGCACAGTTATCTTTGCTCACCTTCCTCTCCTGCCACTGCTTTCTCCTTGTGGGTTCCCATAACCTCCTGTGCCTCCCCTCCCATGCTGAGCCCAGCAGGCTTGCCATCCCCAATTGACCCTTCGTACCCACTCCACCCCACGCAGGTACTTGGTGGGTTACAAACTCCTTCCTCTGCCCTGTCAAGACAGACCCAGCTGCCAACAACAGGTGCAAAGTATCTGGAGCGTAGAAAGAGCTGGTTTTGCCATTTTTTTTGCTATTCCCATTTCCCAGATTGATGCTTCCTCCCAGCTGAGGAGCTGCACCTCTGCCCAAGCAGACAGTGTCACAAATTACAATTCTCACTTATGGCAACCTAATGATGGGGACCCTTTCCACTTGATAGGGTGACATAAAACCAGTCGGCCTGGAATCCCAGGATTCCAGTTTTGGGCAACACTTAAGAAGGTAAATAAGGAGACTAATTATCTTAATGTATTCCATAATTATTTAGATTATTAATCACTTCCTTCTTTCTTGCCTATTATCAGGTCTAGGTGTAGGAGTGTTCCCAAGTCCCAAAGGCAGGCTCTGCCCCTCGCACGCTCCTGTGACTCACCAGGTTCATCTTTATTTCTTCCCACACCTTCCATAACAAGGCTTCCTTGAAGCAGCATCATTGCCTCTGGGGATACAGTGCGTAGGGTACTACACACACCTGAGTTGACTCACCTGGTGGAAGATGTCTTGCTCCTTCCTCTGCAGGTGGTTTTGGAGACGCAAAGGGGCAGCCCTGCTAAAAGGGGTGGAATGTGTAGGGCACGGCTGCTGGGTTATCAAATCAGTTTGTCTTTTCAGGCAGAGTTTTTTGGAGGTCGCTTATGCATTTAATAAAGGCTACATAAAGTTTTTCACACACGACATAAGCTCTTCACTGCGTTGGCTGCAGGCGACCGTGCAAAACTGGGACCTGGTAAGACCAGCCCCTGCCCAGGTGACAGCCTTTGCCCACCCGGGGCTGGGCCACAGGGCACGCCCCACGCCATACCACCAAGCTGCACCATGGCCAAAGCCACAGCCCCACTGGCCACCCGTGGTGGCTCCTGGCCAGGGCCCTGCCGCAGCGATGCCGAGAGTCCCTGCCGTGCTTTCTGTACACAGGTGTGACGCATTCGCAAACAATTTTCCAGGAGAGGTGTTGCTGCTAAACCGTGCGATGGGCTGAGGGGAGGGAAATCAGTCAGGAGGAGAGGAGCAGGGCAGAATGCATGGAGGCAACAAAGCCATGCCGGGGCATCTCAGGCATGTGAGAAGAGGGGGCCGAGAGAGAAGCACTGGCTGGGGCGTGAGCAGAGGGAAGGCATGGCAAAAATTAAAGCAGGGAAGAAAGAAATGGCAGGCAAGGAAGCCACTACTCATTCAGCAAGAATTTGCAGCATTGGACCCTGTTTATATGTATTAGCTGATAATATTGTGATGAGAAGCGAAGCTCAGGGAGACTGTGACCTCCATTTTATGTCCCACAGCCATTCTCTGCCTCCTCCTGTCACCCACGGGCAGGCAGGCATCTTCCCCGTGCTGGTTTCAGCATCCATAATAGTCATAGTTTTCTAAGATCACAAGTATGTAGCAAATAATTAAAAAAAAAAAAAAATCTTACAGAGGAATGAGTTCAGGACTAGAGATGGTGTAAGTTAAGTGGTGACTGTGACAAAGGTGAGTGAGGAAGAAGCACACTCTGGGTGGAGGCAGCAATGACATGCATCAGAGGGAGATGACTGCATAGGGGACTCCTCTGTTTGGATACGGATCAGATCCTGGGTCCTCAAAGCTCAATTAATGACATCTTCACAAATTAAAAAAATTAGATTGTAGTGCCAAATTGCAGAAACAGAAAATAATCTCAACCTTGCTATATGAACAGCAAGCAACTCCAAGTGCCACAGCTAGATAAGGTTGCCAGAAATATGAGATTTACTGGGCTGGTGGTATCCTCTGCCACACAGGTCCCTGGCCTGCAGCCTTGTGCTCTGCCTCAGTTCCACCCCTCACACACAGGGCAGCGTATGGCAGAGGTGAAGCAGCCTCCCTTGCCTAGTAGGAGGCTCTATGTTGTGACACAAGCAGTAAACACAATTTTTGCCCTTGAAAATGTGTACAGTCTCAAACTGTGGTTCACTCCCCATTTTTCTACATCTTCTAATTTTTTTTACCTGCTTCTATTTTTAACTCAGAAAACAGTGCTGAGTTTTGGCTTCCTAAGTAGGCACAGGGAAACTACAGCGAGCTAGACAGCTGAATTTTATCTTTCACTCTCTGAGGCTGAGCACACTTTATCTTCGTGTGTTGTGTTGTCAGTATCTCACTGTTATCCTTTAACCTGACAGCAAAAAAACTTGGGAGTCTGTGTCTGCTCCTGATGGGCGAAATGTAAGGAGAGAAGGAAATACCAACTAATCTTTTTACTTCATAAGAGATCAACAAATGAAATGTTTCCTTTTCATTTTTACAAGTTTTTTAGCTATTAACATAAGCAGTGTATGCATACTATAACAAATTAACATCAAGACTACCCTTTTAATAATTATGAGCAAAATGATCGCCACCAAAGAGTTGTAGCATATCTTGTTATTCTACATGAATTATTACGTATATTATCCTGGTTACTTATACACTGTAATGAAGTGGGACTGTTTTGGTGCTCCGAAATTGTGATTTGTTAGCACATACACCCACTTGCAGAGATATAACCATCTATGAAGTATGTTATGAATGAAGCTTACTGAGGTTAAACTAACATTTTGTTGAACATTTTCAATTTCCTGTCTCTAATCCAAGGGGCTTTCATATGTACTACATGTAAAATGGGTTCATATTTAAAAGGCTGACAAAAAGCTTACCATATTTCTCCGTATGTATTAGTCCTGAATTTTCTCATGCCTGAACGCACCATCGTGATGACAGCAGTGAAAAGGTTTGTGCGATCTCCCAGTCACAAATTCAAACTATCCAGAGAAGGAAAAGGGCTCTGCACAAGCCTATCTTTCACTGCTATTTTAACCACGTGCCTCCTTATCTTGCCCCACTAAAGTAATGCAGCATTTCTAAAGGAAGGTGATGCTCACCTTTCGTAAAGATGGACTTTCCCATAAACTGATCCTACAGCAGATTGAGAGCTGTAGCTACTTGCAAGCTCACCTCTGCAAGGACAAGGTATGCTAACTACAGTGTCATAAAGGTTTTTTGAGTGCTATCACCCTCCACTGAAGTGACCGATTATAAAATTTTAAAAAGAAAATCTAGCTCAGCTGACCCGAGGCATTTGATTCTTTAAAATGTATTAACTGGAGCTGGAAGGGGTTGTGGCTTTCTCTTTTAATGCTCTTGTAATTCTAAAACTGTTGAAGGAATTTTGTCAAACTGTCACCACAGGAAAAAAGTGCATGCCTTGAAAAACAAATTATGGAAACACTTACAATGCAGAGGTGATGAACAGAAATGCTGAGAGAGAAGAAAATATACTTCCCAGCTGAAATGCTGGAAGAGACAACAGCTGCAAAATAGTTACTTTAAGGTGTGACTTTATCAAGTTTAAAGAGAGCCCCAGAAAATGAATGAGGTTGAAACAGGATGAAATTACCAAAGGCTACTCTCTTAATGATGCTGTGGGATATTACCACTGCTAAACCACAGCCGTTTGCCCCGGTGGTGGATTAACAGCAATTAACAATAGTCACTGAAAGTCAGAAATCTCAGAAGAGAGAATACAGTAAAAACCTGTAACGTATGATGAATTTTTTGTCTGATACTTCTCATCCATACACACATAAATACTAAACAAATAAACCAAACTTCATAAACAAACACTATGTTTTCATACTTAGTAGACAGATGATGTATAGGCTGGCAAGCTGAGCTTCCCAGGTGGCGTCAGGATTTTGTGTTACGGTGTCTGTACAGGTATGTTATGTACTGATCTAGGGCGGAAAGGATGTTACACAGGCAGCTGCACATCACCTTACAGGCCACAGCAGCCTTTCGAACAAAATGATGTCTAAGCTGTATTGGTATTTCCTCTGTATGTTATATACCTGTTTGCTTACCCATCTCAAGTTATAGGCAGAATTATTAGTGCTGCTATCAACAGGATTGCCTCATGTTTTCGTTAACTTAAAACTTGCCAGATATTAATTGTTCCTACTGAAATTTTCCAAGCCTGAAGCAGAATCATTTGAAGTACCGGGCAATATGGTTTAGATGTTTCTGAGAATGTGATTTGAAAAAATACGCTGTTTTGCTTGCATTAAATGAAAATTCTAATAACTATTTCATAGAGAAGCTCTAAGACTGTCAGGTTTTAAACCAGGCCTTGGAAATTTGGCTGAGACGGCATCAGTGGTGCAGCTGTTGTCATTTTTGTAAATTTACCCAAATCAAAGATACAGTATTTAAAAAGCAGCATCAGCTTGCCGGTGCCGAGTGGGCCAGTGCTCGGGGGCTGGATTGGGGCACGGAGTGCAGAGAGTGCCTCACCACGACCTACTCCACAGCTCCGACTCTTGGGTTAGCAGCCCCAGGTGCCCGACCCAAGAACAGCCTCCTATTTCATCTTGGCTCTCAGTACTCCCTTTGCTGATGGCAGCAAGCTGAAAGTGTCTCTACATGCACGTACCCCCATCACAGCAGGAGTGGTGCTCGAAAGTAGATGTTCAAGAGAATGCCTGTGTGGGGCTGGAGAGTCCCCGGACTCCGGAGGGAACACAGCACCGAGGAACAAGAATGAGGAGACAGACGGGGCTCGAAAGGGAGACTGGGACGAGGAGAGGAAGTGGGAGAAAGCAGATGTGTGGGGACAGGAGGGGCTTGCTTTGGCTGGAGAACAGGCAGAGGCACTTCTGCAGACCGGACCCTTTGGTGCCTTTACACTACCTGGCCTTGATTCCGCGTTTTCAGCCTCGCTGCTCCTCCGTGAGCTCTGTCGCAAGGCGCGACTCCCCGTCCATCCCGATGGCTGGAGAAGGCGGAGAGCACGTGTGGCTGTGCGCGGGTCGCACAGCTCAAGGAACAGGGGTGTTCCCCACACACCTGACAGCTCAAACACCGCTCGGCCCACTTCGTAATACTTCTGTATTAAAGGAACGTGAACATTGAAAACTAGCTCTCATAAGCAAGAAATCCAACAAATTGTCCACATAAACGTAATTTATCTCTAGTGTGCCTAAATACAATGGTATAAAACAACTTGAATTTTTTCCAGTTGTCCTGGTTTGGGCTGGAATAATGTTCCTTTCTGGTAACTAGAAGAGTGCTGTGTTTTGGATTCAGCACTGGGTTTGGTATGAGAAGAATGCTGATAGCACACTGGTGTTTTGGCTGCTACTGAGACTTCAAGGACTCTCTGACTCCCCGTGTCCTGCCCGTGCGCAAGAAGCGGGGAGGGAGCACGGCCAGAGCACCAAACCCAAACTGGCCAGTGAAATATTCCATATCATGGAACGTCATGCTCACTACATAGAGGGGGGGTGATCAGGAAGGGGCTCGCTCTCTCTCTCTCTCTCTTTCACTTGTGGTATTGCGATTGCAGGATCTTGGTATTTTGGGATCACTCGCCGGGAACAGGCTGGGGGTTGGTCAGCAGGTGGTGAGCAATTGCATTGTGCATTGCCCGTTTGTATTTTCTACTGCTGTCATTGTTTTCATTTTATTACCGTTACTAAACTGTTTCTATCTCAGCCTGAGAGTCTCCCTTTACCCCTCTGATTCTTCCCCCATTCCCAGGTTGGGGGGGAGGGTGGGTGAGCAGCTGTGGGGTGGTAGGCTGCTGACCAGGCTCAAACCACGACATCAGTTGACTCCCAACTAAAACTGATGGCAACAAGAGTGAGATTAGAATAAAGAGATACAAAACACGGCCAGAAGCATTGGTGTATCTTCCATGCAAGACTGGCAGGTTTTTTTTTATCTTGAATAGGCAGGGATTTTTGTGGGGTAATTTTTTTTTGCAAATAAGAATTAAACTCCACTACCATGTCTAGAATGTGATGTAGCGATACAGAAAAGCTGATGAGGAACTACTTCATATTTACAGCTCTAATGGTGTGAAGGCACAGGGCTATGTGTTAAATCACAAAGAGGAAACAAGTGACTGGGACCTTACTAGGTACAAGAGTAATCTAAATTGTATCATGAATACGTTATTTCCAAACTTTTCCCTTCCTGAATTTGCTGTGTTGCTGATTTTTAACAGTTACTAGTTACAATTTTTACATAATCTCACATGGGTTTCCCAGTTTGTTGACCACGGTATGCATTTGTACATAATGATGCAATTCAGAGCTTAGAAGAGAGTGAGAACAAAACTTAGGTAAATGTAGTGTTACCTAATATTAAAATATTGAAATATGAAAATATAAAAGCTCCTAACATATTCAACTCCTTTATAGAATGACATGGGAGGAAAAGTCGCAAGACAAAACAAACCCACCTGGATTTTGAACATTCCAGAGATGAGGAAGATCAGCTGAAGGTCACAATTGCACCCTAGTACGATGATTCCAAGCGCATTTCAGTTTTTTTGCTCTGTGTGTCAACAAGCAATATATCCCTACCACCTTCTTCATCATAAAATAACCCAGAGCCCTAACTTCGCTGGGCTTTGATAGCCCATAACGATTGGCAACACAACAGCTCAGAGACAGAAACTAATTTAAAAATTGACCAAGATTCCTAAATATTCCGCGACACATAGGCACAAGATTGATTGCTCATTTGAACTCCTTATGGATAATCACACTCCTACATCATATTATGATCGTGCTAATATTAACCACCCTAGTACTTCTAAGAAAGTAAAGAGTTCTTTAATAAAAGCATTATCAATTTGCCAAGATAAAAATTCCCCATGGCAGGGAGAAATGGAAGACAGATTCATTGTGCTCGACAACTACGGAAACAGGGCAGATACGTGTTTTCTGGGGTTACTTGATGGCTCCTATGGCGCGACAGCTGCAGAAACAGTTGTAGCAGAGCTTCCACTTCTATTTCTTGATCAGCTTGCTCAAACGGATTCCTCCTATAAAAAGAGTAAGGATGAACAGCAAATTCTAGATTCTTTTGCCACAGTCATCAAGGCAGATTACAGGGAAAAAGAGAAGATTTTCTCTGATAAACCAGGCGATGACAAGACCAACAAGACCAATACTCACGAATGGATTCACAAAGCATATGCCAAGTCCTTTTGGAGAATGGATAGACTTCTACGACTGGGCAGGAACGAGGTTTCCAAAGTTCGCTGGAGTGGCTGCTCAGCTGTTACCTGTTTGGTGGAGAGAATCCCCAGTGAAGAGACAGATGGCACACAGGAAGAAGAAAGAGAACATTCTGAAGACAACACACACAGGCCATTAGCCAGGACAGCCAAAGGTGTTGCTGGGTTACTGCATATTGCCAATATAGGTAGGTACATTCCACACTACGATTTTTTTTTTTTTGCCTCTGTCCAATAAAAAGAAAAAAAAAATAAGCTAATCTAGAGATCTGTTGGCAGTAAATATGTGGAGATAAAAAGCTGCAGTTGCTTTAATCTGACAATGTAAAGGAGACATAATAAATTCCCTTGCAACTGATATTGGTATCAGGCAGTATTAAGCTTATCTAATAAGCACCTTCATTTGAGTTATCACAATAAAGTCAGTTTACTAATGCAAAAAGACACAGTTAAGAAGCATTCCATAATATACAAGTGACCTCTGTAAGAGCAGTAAGGACAATTTTTTCATTTTTGTTTTTAAATCAATAGGAAGTTTAAGATGTCATCCTTCTAGGGCAATCATAAATCTTCTGATTTTAGATCTGATAAATCCTGCGTGTCAATGAAACATGCTTAAGGTATTATTTTTGTTCATTTCACTGACAAGTGATACATTTTGCTACCAGAAAACCAAAAACATGATCTGTGGGGATCATCGGAATTAGCAGTATCTGAAATAGAAATTGGTTGTTATTTACTGTTGTTACGGAAGATCTATTTAGACCTGTTTCCCTGTGAAGGACACCCCTGCTTTGCCTTTCTAGAGTGTAGAAAATCAGTTATTAATTACAGTCAGAAACACTGACACATTCCTACTGCTTCTCCACCCGGCCCTGCTGCAGGAAACTCTAGACAAAGCTCCTGCAGTTCTTAGCAGCTCCACACACTGTATCTTCCCACTTGGTGATTTTTGTTACTAATTAAGTTCTCTTGTGTACGTAGGACAGCTGTATGATTACAAGATGCTTGCTTTCCCATAAAGGACTACACAAGCAGAATTATATAAATTTATATAAACGGATTTGTGTCTACAGTTACATTCTCTAGTGTCTTCCAGGCTCTACTTGAAGCACAGGCCCTGCACTACAATACTTTTCTACCACTCTCCCCAGCATTAGGAAGCAGTGTGCTAGCACTGCAACTTTCCGTCAACAGGGCCACTCTTTCCTCCTCAGACGAGCATATCCACAACATTTGTAAGACTTCATGTGCACTGATGTTGAACTAAGTAACTGTGGTCTGTCCTCCCGACACTTCTTGCTGTAGCCGTACTTCCTCGACTTTTAACAAGCATTTTTGCAGCTACCTGAACTTCACTGTTGTGGGTATCAAAATTGGAAGCTTAGCGCTAGATCAAGATATTCCTGCGGGAGATAAAGTCATACAGGAGTAACTCACATGAAGGTTGTAATGTTTTCAGATGCATTTGTTTCTACCTCATTGGAGAAGAAACCCATTTTTATTCCAATGAACTTGAGAGATAGGATGAAGGTAATAACATTTAGTAAAGAATTTACCCAACCTGAGTTTTCTGGTTCTAGTTACCTGCTTCCATCCTTCCTTCCCAGATCAGATTTTATGCTGGCTGCAATTAAAGATGCTGTAAACTGAAGCTCCGCTAATGAGTTAAGGCTTGTAGTTGATCAGAGATACTTTAAGCCTTTTATGATTAAAGTCCACAGTTTTGAACCACTGCTAAATACACATTTATTTAATCTAATACACTGAATTTTCCACCAAATGTATCACATCAAAGAAAAATATTTGCACAACATTGAGCTTCATTTCCCCCCCCCCCCCCAGGAATGTGTTCTTGCAGAAGTATAAATATGCTCCTTCAGCACCAGGTAAGCAGCTGAAGAGGATGGTCAGATAGGCGGAGCAGAAGATGGTGGCACTGGCCAGCTTTGTCTTCTTCCTTTAGTCCCACATTGATAGGTCAGCTAGTTTTTGATGATCCTTTTGCCCTGTCTCTGGTTTGCAGACAAGAAACTTGCATCCGAAAGTGACTAGATTTTACTCTTTCTTGCAGTCAAATTGTTCCACAGGGGTGATATGATGCCATTTGTTAGGCTTACAGCTGGCGGTCTTACTCCGAGGGTTCAAAGGAAATTTTAGGCAACCTTTTAGCTCTCCATGGAAATCAGTGGAAGGAGGGAGCAAGCACAAGGAAACATTCACACAGCATAACTTAAGGCCTCTACATTCTATCATCAATAAAAAAGGTGTGTCCTTCAGTTCGATACTGAATCACCTTCTAGAGAAATCTGCCTTCACATAGACTACACTTAACTGTCTTTTACACTCGACCATGCCAATACTGCCAAAGAAACACAACCACTGCATAAGCAGTGCCTACTTATAAACACTTTTCAGAGATCCGCGCCCGAGTCTAGCCAGGTTATATTAAAAACACAGTATAAATGAACACACTGCAGCCATCTTAGTGCCTGGAAAGCTACCATCCCACTCAAGTACCTTCTCTAAGACATCACTTTTGCCCTTATGCCAACACATGGGAGCAGACCAATCACCACCTCTTACGCAAAAAATAGTCTTCTCCCAGCGTAGCCACAGAGGATCTAAAACAACGCATCACTTGGTTCCAGAGCTGCTTTCCTTTACACTATGCAATCAAGCCTGACAAGACTAGTCACCTGCTGTATTGCAACTTCTAACACTTTTCATTCTCACTGTGCAGATTTCAAAAGTTTCCTACTAAAGGAGAGGAGTTATTCCTCAACTTCTCACGATGACTGTGAGAACTCTTGCTCCCTTGGGTCCCTTAACTGAGCAAGAAAGTTAAGGCATCATGTTAGTAAACTAAATTCTACACGATGTCCAAATTGTTTTCAGGTAGTAGAAATTCTATAGTGGTAAAAATATTCTGAACCTGTAACTTATTGATGAGTCCGTTCAGCCGCAGTATTTTGAAAGCACATACTCTCCTAGGGGAAAAAAAAAGTATTTAAGAAAAATATGCACTCTTGCTTAAAAGCCAGTCAAGGTGCAACATCAGACTGCACTTTAAGCTGAATGAAACGTCACTTAGGACTCCTCATAAGAGTTTAGATGCAGTCAGAAGAATAAGGTTCTGAAATAGTTTTCTGAATAATGGGAGGGAAAAAAAAACCCCATAACAACACAGAAAACTTCGCTGTAAAATAGAACCAGATTAATTGACGGGCATATTGTTGACTGTGGCTGTAGATCACTGAATTACGACCTCATGTCTTTTTCTCAGTCCTTCGCAAAAGGCGAACTGTTAATGTAACAGCAGTATCTTAAAACCCCCCAAACACTATGCTATAATTCAAAATATTATCTTACTTCAATTTTAGGTAATGCACATGCAGTCTTATGTAAAAATGGGAAGAGTCACTGCCTCTCAAAAGAGCACAGCACCTCTAATGTAAGCGAGAGAAATCGTATACTTCAGAATGGTGGGAACATCAGCATTAATGAACCAGATGGATTAGTAGAGGGGTACCTGAGAACTACCAGGGGTCTTGGACATCATGGAGATCCAGTACTGAAAAAATCTGTTATACCTGTACCTCATACTATATCTGTCCTTATCGATGATACCTGTCAGTTTCTTATTTTAGCTTCTAATGGGCTTTGGGAGGTTTTGGATTACCACAAAGTACTTGCAATAACTCTAACAACATTCACTCATTATTTGAGAATGTATGAATATATTCAACAAAATGGGACTTCTCCGTACAAGTATCAGTATTTGCTGCCCCTCACTGAAGAGAACTTAAATGATTCACAGGCTGTTAATGATCTGCAAGATGCAATAGAGATACTGTATTCCAATAAAGACATTTTTCTCATTGACTCAAGGGGCAACCTGAAAGAAAATAAGCCAAAATATTCTCAGAGGAAACATTTGCAAAGTGAAGACAGAATTCCTAAGGAAACTGATGACCGCAAAAATCAAGCTGATCCAGAATTGTCTCTTTTCAGTAACAATGAGGTAAATTCACAGAACCAAGAGATAAAACAGTCTGATTCTAGCACACAAGGTGGCTCTGCAGAATTGAAACAGCTTGAGAACAGGGAAGTTTATCTATGTAACAGTTTTCAGCCACAGTCACAGACTGCAGAGCAAGAAGAAACACACACTGACACTTTCTGTGCAACAGGTCCAAGTTGCACCCAGAAACAGCTGCCAGAGAACACACTGGCAATAGGGTCTAAAGACATGAAACAGCCCCCCAAAGATACAAAAGCATGCCTATCTGTTGACGACTCAGGTCCACAACCAGCAGAAGAAATGGACTCCAAGATATTTTGTGACAGACCTGCAAGTTACACTGGTCAAGAACGGCTAAAGGCTGTATCACCCGTGGGTTCTGAACCCCCCGCCCCCCCCTCTGAAGCAGACACACCACCACACCCGTCCCATCGCAAATTACAAACTGCAGGAAGGGGCAGCGCCACCCCCGAGACACTCTATGACAACGCAGCAAGCTACATCAGTGAACAACTGGTAAAGACAGCATTAGCTGCAGGTTCAAGAGATAACATTACTATTTTGATTGTGCTTCTAAATGGATGTGATAAGATACCCAATTACCTCAACATTTAAAAATTTATCATAGAATAACAGGAGTGCTACAGTAAGCTCATATTTAGCTGTGTCATGAATTTACTTGTAATCATCTTAAACGCTGACCCATATAGTAAATCAGACATCTTGTCTGGAACTGTACAAATGCAATAAAACCTTCTGAAACTGTCAATAAGAAACAGTAATCAAAAGTACTGTTTTTTTTTTTAAACCACTTTATTCAAACCTGAGCACCTCAATATAAAACTAAACACTGGTGAACTCTCATTTTCCTTGCTAAACCCAGATTACTGCAAATTTAAAATCTGCACAAGTAAGTTTCTGCTATCAGTTCAACATTTAAATAGACTAATTCATCTCTTCTGACACACTTGGTAGATTTCATATAATGAAAATAACTAAAAGAATTAGTGCAATATACCAGACAGATCAAAAGAAAATGTACTTTGGAAAACAAAGTTGCAAGTTCATTACTGACAGACAGCAGTACTCATGTTACAGATACAGGAGCGTCATTTATTACTGTTCTAGCCATAAAGGAAGAACTTAGAACCCCCTTTGATTAGAGAGGAAAAAAGTTAGCTTTAAGTAACTGTACATTCTGTATACCTTTAAGCGACTCTTAAATATTACAGAAAGTATTAAACAAATGTAGACTACGATGCAGAGTACCTATTTACAGTACATTAATATCCAAATTTAAAATCAAGTTGGATGTACATAATCGTTAGTGCACTATTATTTTCCTTAGGGGAAAACCAAACTGTAATGGCCAGCAATGATCAAAAACAAGAAAGAAGTCACAGACACCGAGTTTGATGTGGTTTTACTTGAAGAGCTCTTACAGTTTGTAGAGGAAAAAAAAATCCTAAATTATAAAGTTGAATTTACTGGTTTGTACCCTCTTAACATATTAGAAATTAAGTTAAACTTGATTTATCACTAATTCCTTTAGATAACTAACTGGGTTGATAGAATTTACATACAGTGTCCCAACTAAAACTCCACTTTCCTGCAAGCACAGGGTTCTTAAAACTGTTAATGCAAGTATTATTTGTAATTAAACTATGGAATGTATAACTAAACAGTAGATACCTGCAGAAACAACTGGTTGCATCAATACTGTGAATAAGTTTAAGTAATTTTTAGACTCTGTTTCTAAAAAGGTTTTAAAGCACAATTGAGAATTATGAAAAGTCCCAATTCTATTTATTATAACAGTAATCAGTATTGAGGCTACAGGAACTGGCCAATTAGGTCCATGGAAAGTAGTTCTTCTACACCCCTAATGGTAAGTGATTTTTAAAACCTTTCAGCTGAAGGAAGTTTATTCCGCTTCCATCTCTCCTCTACTGCTGAAACGTTACAGCCAGTGGTGGATACATGCATGTTAAAACTTTAGGTCAAAAAAAAAAAAACCAAACCACCTCTGTATCATGAACTTGACTATTATCATAAGTCTCTTCACTGTTTGGAAGCTGTACTGGGCCAGGTTAAGCACTCCAATTCCATGGTTATTAACAGTTATGAAGCAGAAGAATATTCAGAACAGTTTAAAGCAACTGATGTTTTAGTTACTACAACATTGACTCTTGGGTGGTTGCGTGGGTTCAGTAAGGTCTACTCCTCTTCCTCTGGCAGAGTTGGCTCCTGCATTCTGTGGTTCATTCTTGGGCAGTTTTTTTGCTATAAAATCAACAAGAAGTAAGAGTTAAAACTGAGCTTGTACTAAGATTAAATCACCAGAGCACACAGTCAACACTTTATTACTATATAAGCATATCAATACAATCACTATAAAAATCTGATTTCATTCAGTGTGTTGGTAATAGAAGAAGTTAAGACACTTCTCAATGATTAGCTACCTTGTCTGTGATTTTCAAAAGCATTATTAACTTGAGCAGTAAAATGTATCTGCACAGGTACCCTGGGTCAGGAATCCACTGACACTGACAGGCTTTAAGATCAGGATGTCAGTGCTAAGAGATACATAAAGATTGAACGGGCACAAAACACAGACAGAAATGGGTCAAACTACTGCCCAGCTACCTAGCCAGAAAAAGGATTTGCATACAACATATAAAACCGCCCTCAGCACTAGATCAAGTCTCTCTTCTTTTTTTCAAGCTGTCTCTTCTCTACAGCTCTTATGAGTCAATTGACAGTGGTAATTTTTGTTGTCCTTGCAGCTCCAAGGTACCTCCTTGGCCCTGACATAAAAACTAATGGTGACAAATGTTACCCTTCTGAGCAGTAGCTCCTCCTAGCAATGTTCTGATGGAGAGAAAGCCAAGTTCTACATAAAATGACTTCTGTAGGGTTGTCTTGCCCATGTGAGCAGGACCCAGCCACCATCCCAGTTCTACAGTTTGGCCACATGCTTCAACTCTAAAGTAATTACTTTGGCCAGCTTTTTAAGGAACAACTTTTCTAAAAGTAATGAAATGCAAGTATAACAACCAGAAAACCAGCAGAGTACACATCAATAAGATGTGTCCCAGTGCTAGATAATCTCAGGGAGCTAGGTAACCTCATCTTGGATTCCCTTCCCACAAAAGGTAGGGCCAGATCATCATCTGGGGTCCGTTCCAACTTGGGCTGGTCTACAATTCTGTGCTAGAACCCAAGAGTTCATGTGGTACTACACTGCTGAGACAGTACAAAGGGACAAAGCACCAGCAGAAAAATGCCCTCTGAGCACTGTTGTTTTGGATTCTAAACACATTCTTGAACTGTGAATTAACATAATTTTTTCAATGGAAGTTCTGAATGAAGTCTAAAGCAGTCAATTTATAAGCAGCTCTCGGTTGCATCCCTCAATTCTGCCCGCGTTCTCATTTTTCATTCTCTCCTATTTTCAAAGATCATGTTTACACATGGTCTCAAGAACTGCATCCATGTTGTGAAAGAAGCCATTCCAAGTTCCATGCAATACTTAGATCCTCATCGAGATTTCCTTTCAGGGTCCATTGCTGCAGAGATTTTGTTCTGATGCGCTGACAAAGCTGAATTTCACACACTGATGTGGAAGAATACTCACATGGACAACCAACACCGCAGACAGAACACCCAGGTACTAACCGGGCATTGTTTTCTCAAATTTACTTTGTATGCCTCAGAATATGGAGAGGTAAGAAATTTTGTTGGTATAACAAATTACCAAAAAAATTATCAGATTTTGAGGAATATTTTTTTTTTAACAAGATGCAAACTGTGCCTTCAAACAAATTAATTTTAAAATTTCACCAGAACAGTGTAATTGAGCATTTCTGCATCATTAAATGCAGGCTTATCTTGAGCATTTATGAGAAAAATACACTTCCACTCATATACTTAGGTGGTTCTTCCCCCCCCCCCCCCCCAGTATTTATAGTTAATATGAAGCAAGTACTAGTTATAAACTGTTGCTATAGTGATAATTTAATTTGCATCTGCTAGAAGTTTGAACCACACCACAAATTACCTTCTGCTTTACTGACTTGGAAAGCAGAAGAGCTCTTTGGAAAAATTTAATTTTGATAGCAAATGCTGTTTTTCACAAAAAGTGGGATGGAGAGGTCACTGTAGTGCAAATATGAAATAGATTTAATAAGGTTATCGGTTATTTGACACTATACATTACTATTCCCCAGCAGCAGAGCCACTACCGTGATTGTGATTACTAAATAAGTTGGTGGCCAACCTAAAAATGCATGCTTTCTTTTTTCTCTACTTTCAAAATTTTAATCAATAATCAAATATAATTTTGTGTCTATCAACGGAATTCACAAAATTTCTTAGTAATTTATACTTACTGTTACATGTTAGTATCTTCACAAATCCCTAAGATTTTGTTAAGGCTAAAAATATATTAGTAAATTTACTTTTCACATGAAGTGTCGTTTACTTATACTTGGACATTGAATTTAATCACACATTGTCATCTTTGGCACAACTTTTGGGCATCAGATATTTGAATTCCAAATGCAGCTAAAATTTTCATACAAGTGTATTTAGCAAATGTTTTGTTTAGACTAAAATGAATACTTGACTTGTTTTTTAAGCAAGTCCATTAGCACTCCCATTTTGAAACGTTTTCAGCTTTAATTACCATTGTCTCATAAACGGTACTTTATTCCAGGTTCTGCACCTATCCAAGGCAGTGTAGAATCTGCTACAAACAACATACCATCAAAAGGCACATATTTATACACATTCACTTAAATGCTAAGTACCTCTTCCAATTAAGAAAAGCTGTATAAAACTTTTTATGGTTACCTACACCATGGGAAAGGTGTTTATTTTTGTCTAGAACAGCTAAAGCTTAATTTTGCTTGAACATGAAGCAGTAGAAGTTTTCATTATAGAATCAAAACAGGTACACAGAACTTGCTGACAGAATGTGAAAGTAACCCAGCTTAGCTATCTCAAGTTAATTCAAGTGGATTGGTGCTTAACAGAAGACCTGTACAACTGTACTTCAAGTTTATCTGAACATCAAAAAGTATCTGAAAGGGCCTAAGGAAACTTAAATTCCAGAAGAAATTTAAGTGAAAAACAAAGATCTTGGGTTCGGAAGATTGTGATGGTGTGTATCTCATGAAGACAATTCCCTTAAATTCTCAGTCTGTTCATGAACTCACCAATTGCCATGAATATTTCATTTACGTTCATAGACGTTTTGGCAGATGTCTCCATGAACAATAAGCTGTTGTCATCTGCATAAGCCTGTGCTTCCTGAAAGTTAAAATAAGATTGCATTACTTAATTTAAAAAATTAATAAACAAAAATCACACAATCATTACACATTTTACTCCTATTGCTACTTAGGAACAATTTCTATACCATTTTGAAAGAAAGTTTGTTGAAACACTCATGTGGCTGTTATTCATCAGCTATGATGAAGTTAAAATTCCATAAAGCAGTTAAACAGTTAAAAATGCAACCTTAAATCTTACTCATTGTAAAAATATATAGATGGAAAAATCTCAGGCAAAACTAAATAATAAATAAAAATATTTATTAAAAAAGACAACCCTGATCCAGAGCACTAGCCGTGGATAGCAAGAACAGTAAGCTCCAGAAAGTGCCATCGAATATCAGAAAGTCTGTTATTACCCTGGAAAGAAGGCAGTTTGTGAACTGAGACAGATGGATCAGATCAGATCAGTTTCATTATCCTGACAAAAATTCACAATTATAAAT